GTATAAGTTAGGTAGAGCTATTCCTTCGTTGCATAATCTGCAGCTGAGGTCCCCGTTGTACAGCCCCATTTCATTCAGGTGTTCTCTAAGCGGACAATGACCGGTTAGTAACCCTGAAATTATTCCGAGCCGATCCTTACTATATTGAAGTAGCTCTTCCGTTCTTTTCTCGGACGGTTCCCCAATGAAGGTTCTACTGTGTTTGTTGCCAGGTACTTTTGTCCAGTACTCTGTGTGCTTCTTATTGGTCCATGACCTAATCTGGTTTCGTACCAATGATTTTGGTACCCCCAGAGCTGGTTCAGGACCTACATATGAAGTTGATGATCCGCGTCTAGCGTATTCATCAGCTTTACCATTACCTGTCATTCCTGAATGCCCTGGCACCCAGTACAAAGTTGATTTGTTTCTGTTTGCAAGTTCATTCAGTTCTTCATGACATTCCCAGACCAGTTTTGATGTCACCTTCGGGTTTGTCAGAACCGCTAGTGCGCTCTTGCTGTCTGTAAAAATATTGATCCGCTCATTTCTTTGTGGTCTCAATTTAATAAGCCTTGCACACTGGAAGATAGCATGAAAGACGGATGTGTATAGTCCTAGCAGATAGCTGTAGTTTAGATTTCTATCCGCTCGGTATTTCCCAGCTCCCGTTCCATGTTTGGTCTTCGATCCATCTGTATACAGGTGTATTTTCCAAACATGCTTTCAGGATGACTAATGGTCTTCCACTCTTCACGGATTATGATTTTGGGCGTGTTAAAGGTGTACTTCGGTGCCATGTGATCCTTGCATATATTCAATATGTGCTCCTCCACTTGTTCCGAAATTTCTGTTCGGTCCGATTTTTTGTAGTTCGGTGAGTTTTCCAGTCTGAATTGACCCATCCTGGCCTCCCCCATTTTCACAAAGTGTAAAGGAGGTAGATTCAGCAGTGTCTCCAATGCAGCTGTTGGGGTAGTTCTCATTGCTCCCGTCATTCCCAAACGTGTAAGTTTTTTCACGTTGCCTAGTTTGTTGATGGCGGTCGCCTGCTTCATCTTTGGCCACCAGACCAGAGATGCGTATGTTATCATGGGTTTAACCACCATCGTGTATAGCCAATATACCATGTTTGGTTTTAGCCCCCATGTTTTTCCATAGGTGCGTCTGGCGAGCATCAGTGCTACCTCCGATTTCCTCTTTATCCTGTCTAAGTGTTGGTTCCAGGTCAGTTTGGAATCTAGGATTACTCCCAAATATTTAACCTCCCCCGACACTTGTATTTCTTCATCTCGAAGTTTTAGAGGTCCGAAACCCTCCGTTTTAGTCCTTTTGGGTCTATTCCACCCTCACCGCAACTTAGAACTTAACATAATCCACACTTCTTTTCGTCGTTCCAATGTAGAACGACCCGTTGCTATAAGGAATCCGGTATACCCCGGGTGTTGCTAAAGGTTCTCTGGAGTTTTCTGACCTGAGGTCAGCTTAGGAAATCAGGTGACCTAAGGTCCTCAGCTAAAGTTCCCAGGTGATCTAAGGTCAGTTGACCTAAGATTTCCAGCTAAGGACCCCAGCTGACCTGAGGTCAGCTAACCTCAGGTCAGCTAGTGACCCCAGAGAACCTTCAGCAACACCCGAGGTATACCGGGTTCTTTGTAGCTGATTGAAACCACGAAATTAAGTGTATAAACCGACGAATCAGCTCTAGCCAAACATAATTTCAACGAAGTTACAAGGAAGCTACAAGGAATTTGGTATACCTCGAGAGTTACTGAAGGTTCTCTGTCATAAGGTCTGCTTGGAAAATCAGCTGACTTAAGGTCCTCAGCTAAAGATCCCAGGTAATCTAAGGTCAGTTGACCTAAGATCTCCAGCTAAGGACCCCAGCTGACCTGAGGTCAGCTAACTTCAGATCAGCTAGTGACTCCAGAGAACCTTCAGCAACACCCGAGGTATACTGGGTTCTTTTTAGCTACGAGTCGTTGTATATTGAAACCACGAAACAAAGTGAACAAACCGACGAATCAGCTCTAGCCAAACATAATTTCAACGAAGTTACAAGGAAGCTACAAGGAATTTGGTATACCTCGAGAGTTACTATATAATATAAAACTAGAGTCAAATACTAGTATCGTAATTACTGCATTCGAAACGGGAACAATAACACGAGCATCAATTCTGGCCCTGCGACCGGAACCACATCGTTTGTCTACCGCAGTGGTAGACGAAATGTCAGGCATACAACCCTTCAGACAACGCTCAAAAAACCCGGAAAATAGCCCTCACACAGTTATGTCCGGCCGTAAAAGTTCACATTCTCTAAAATACTCACGAAAAGCTAGTCAGATTTGCGGCAATAACCTGGAAAAAAACTTTTTTTTCAATTTACTGGGTCAGTTGGATAGCAAGAAGAATATTTATTTCGAACTCAATTAAATTCTTTCTCGGGGTTCTTCTTCATTTTTTTGTTTCATTGCGCATTTTTTCTGTAATTGATCAAGTCAGACACCAAAGATAAAGCCAATCGTTTATTTCATGTCTTTGTGTGATGTTGTCTCGAAAACTTCATTATTTTGGATTTTTTTATTGTTTGTATGTATCTAATAAGTCTGTTATTTTCGAATTAACAAACTCTTTTCGAGAGTCGAAGAAGAATTTAATTTTATTTCTAAACGTAAGCAATAAAACAACCCGCTCTTTCGCAGACCACAAGTTGGCGAATTTCACTTTGTGACTTGGGCCTGTACCCGTACAAAATTCAACTGACCCAGGAACTGAAGGTAAATGACCATATACAACGACGTTTGAAATGAGACCCATTTATGTAAACCCATCTGTAGACCCATTTCTCAAAACCAACATAACCCATTCCATTCAGCCTGATTTATACGCCAGAGTAAGGGAAAATTGGTTAGGTTAGGTGAAGTAAGGTTAGGTTGTGTTGGGTTGAGTGAGTTAAGATTAGGTTAGGTTGGGTTAGGTTGAGATAGATTTTTGTATCTGTGGGATAATAGAGTCCGAGCAAATCACTGGACCAAAAAGTGTTGGCCTCCGAGGAAACTTCATGTTGGCGAAAAGAAAGTCCTACATGAAACTTTGGTGCCTCCTCATGAAGTTCTTTTACCACCGCTTCACATAAAGCTGGAATTGATGAAGCAATTTGTGAAATCACTTCCAAGAGATGGAAATTGCTTCAAATACTCAATATCAGAGTTTCCAGGCATCTTAGAGGCAAAGTTGAAGGAAGGTGCATTAAATTGTATATATTTATTTATGACTTAAAGTTAGTTCAAAAACCCTTATAAACAATTTCGCGTTTTGCAAAATAGCGTGATGTTCTGGAATTTTTTGAGTACTTTTTTTACTTTTCAGAACACCTAAATACATAAAGATCAGTTGAGAATATCCAGACAGATTTTTTGTTGCAGATCAGTTAAAAACATCCAGCTTTTTGTTGCAGACTTGTGATTTGAAACGAGTTTGGGGAAAATTTTCACAAATACATACTTTTATAGGTTTTATAGGTTAGGTTAGGTTAGGTAAGGTTAGGTTAGGTTAGGTTAGGTTAGGTTAGGTTAGGTTAGGTTAGGTTAGGTTAGGTTAGGTTACTTATGATGCACTGTTTGGAACCTTTGATATAGTAATGAATATTACTGGAGTTTTTTCCCAACACCAAATCGTTATTTTTAACACCAAGTTATCATCTTTGAAGAGGATGTTACAAAAAAATCAAGACAAGTCGAAAGGGAGGTGACGATATCCTTGTGACAGGAGAGGTGGAATGCTTTACAAGAGAAAGCACAGTGGACGAAGAGACTGATCCCCAATATAAAGCCATGGTTACACTGCAAGTTTAAAACCACAAATTACTTTTTGACGCAGGCATTGACAGGGCACGGATCCTTCAGGGCTTTTACGCGGAAAATAGGGAAAACAACTGATGACAACTGCATATACTGCGGAGAGAGGGACGACCCGGAGCACACCATCTTCCACTGTAATAGGTGGGATAGAATAAGAACTGCATTAACAAATAACATTGGTTTGGACGTAACTCCTGAAAATCTGATTGGTTCAATGCTAAGAGATGAAACTCACTGGAAGTAAGGCGAGACATTTGTTAGAGAAGTAATGAAGAAAAAAGAAGACGAAGAACGGAAGCACCAGAACAAAGTAGAAGCTGAGCAGGTATAACACACTGGACGCAGGTAGCCTGATGAATATCACCTTGACAGTTCAAGGATATCCTGGCGGAAAGGATATCTACCCTGGCTGATTGAAAGAGAGGTCCGGGTGTCAAGCTATCCCCCTCCCCACCAAAAAAAAAGGTTAGGTTAAGGTTAGGCTGGATTAAGTTAGGTTATGTTGGGTTGGGTTAGGTTAGGTTAGGTTAGGCCACACAACCCATGCCACAATGGATATTCTGCACGAGCGATTTGGGAGCATGGTCATCTCTCGTGGAGGTGATGTAAACTGGCCACCGAGATCGTGTGATTTGACCCCATTAGACTTCTTCTCGTGGAGTTTTCTCAAGTCGCAGGTGTATGCGAATAAGCCACAAATCACAGCAGTTCTCAAAGCTAACATAACCAATGTTATTCAGCCTGATTAGTGCGCTAGAATCAGGTAGAATTGGACGTGTCAAAGGCACTCCTACTAGAGAAGACGGAGCGTACATTTGAACGTTATTATATTCCACATATAATGGCATCAATAAATCTTTCAAACAAATAAAAAATTTCAGTGATATCTGACACACACTTTGTTTCATTTGAATTTGAAGATAGGAAGTGTTTAATACATGACCTTCTTTGAATAATAAATCTGAGTTTTCTCGTGTTCAGATAGCCGAGTAATTCCAATGCAGATTTTTCAATAGTTCATTTAAAAAATATTTATTTCAATATTTCACAGGGAGGAAAATCAAAATATTTCGACATCTTTATTTTTTATTCAACCTCACCTTGAAGAAGAGTATTACATTTATTCTATTACATATCGGTATACAACCCCTTTTTTAGCCCACAGTATCAGATGCTACAGCTGCTTTTCAAAAGATATCCACGATGACTGCGCCGTACCAGACAAGAGCCAAATATCTCTCGTCAAATGCGATATGACCACTCTGGAACGAACCAAAGAATTCGCCAAAGGAATCGATCCCTCGTACAACAAACTCTTCGAAGTGGACAATATCGAAACCGAGGCGGGAAGAATAGGGCTAGCTTGTCTGAAGATGGTGACCAAAGGTGAGTGAATTCTCCACTTACTTATTTTTTATGCTGCTTGGTTGTCATCATGTTTTATGTCACGTTGGATGCCATCCTCCATAGAAATCCATCTCATGATTCCTTGGTTCTTCAACATTTCTTCATTCACATTAAATTTATAAATTTCTGCTTCAAGTATACAAAAAATATACGAGTAAGTCAGTCGATATTGGATCAGAGTACAATCACCGTATGCCACTGTCAACATTTCAAGTGTTCTTCAAGCACTTAATTCCATTTTTGACATAACATTTGATGTCATCTCAGTCTTCTTGGGATTGATCGACAGTGAGTGTCCTTACACCATGTTTCTATTAATTTGAGCCCGTCATGCGCTCTATCGCACAGTGTGTTCACAAATTTGCCGGTCTGCAAGATAAATATGACATCTATATATGCAATTGTGTAGAATCCATTATTGTTGAGGTCATTAATTAGGGTATCCAGAACTATGTTCCAGAGAAGGGGTGATAAAACCCCTGCCTGTGTCTCTCATGACCAGTCATCTCATTGTGATGTCTTCTACATTAATACTTATTGCTCTATTAGAGAGCATCTTGAGTATCCATTCTCCTACTACCAGGGGTACATTCCTGGAGTGTAGTTGATGGATAATTGATTGGAAAGGTTGTTTTATCAAACGCTCCCTCAATATCTATGAATATAACCAGGGTGGATTCTTTGTTGTCCAATGATCTCTCGATTCTGCCAACCACATGGTGAAGGGCCGAATCAGTAGACCATCCCGGAGTATATGCATGCTGATTTGGATGAAGTGGGTTGTGAACAAGTACTTCATCTCTTATGAACCGCTCACATAGCCTCTCCATAGTTTTTAAGAAGAACGATGTGAGACTAATTGGTCGGAATGCTTTCGGTAGGGTGTAGTCCTACTCTTACTTCCCTCCACTTACTGGGAATATGCCTCAGAGCTAGAAAGGCTCTGAATATTCCAACCAGGTGCGGCATAAGAATATCCAATCCCCATTGAAGTTGGGCTGGTCTTATACCGTCAGGTCCTGGTGACTTGAAGGGGAAAAAGCCCATTTTATCTTGTCTTCGTCAATTACTGCACTAGGAGATTGCCAGTCGTATTGTGAGGGTGCTGTTGGTACTTCCGTCCAGTTCGTCGTTCCAGGAACGACGTAAGAAGTGAGTTTTCATAGAATCTCAGCACTTTCTTGGAGGTTGGCGGCTTTGTCGCCATTTTCCCTCGTCAGGATGCCGATACTCTTATGGTGGACATTTGAGAGTGCCTTCTGTAGCCTAGAAGCTGGTGGGAAGTCTTTGACTACTTCACAGTAGACTCTTTTTTTGGTCTTTGTTTTTGTCTGCAGATTTTTTTGAACTCTTTGAGGTTTGGCTTGATACCCCAGTCCTCTTCGAGTTTTGTACGTTTTGCCTTGTTAAAGGTCGTTCTGGCTGTCTTCTTGAGGTGTTCCAGTTCAGGGCACCACCATGTATTGGTTGTGCCATCTGTTTGAACATCCTCATCGGACAGGATTCCTTGCAGGCAATGTTTATTTTGTTTTGGATAGATACCGTGTACCTTTCCAGTTCTTCATTATTGCCAGAGAGCTACATCCTTCCTCTTCGGGTCACGGGGAATTTTACAGTGGTCCTGAGATCCTGGCTTACCGTATTTGAACATCCTCATCGGACAGGATTCCTTGCAGGCAATGTTTATTTTGTTTTGGATAGATACCGTGTACCTTTCCAGTTCTTCATTATTGCCAGAATCGATTGTAGAGAGCTACATCCTTTCTCTTCGGATCACGGATAATTTTACAGTGGTCCTGAGATCCTGGCTTACCGTATAGGTCAACCAGCGGTGGTCTGACAGAAATATGGTCCGAGACCTGCCAGTCCTGAATTTTGTTTGATATTAGTGCATCACAAATTTCAAGCTCTATTGAAATATGCAGGAATATATAGGGTGTTTTGTTGAAACAAATAGTTTTCTATCAATAACTATTGATATCTCATTTTAAAAAATAAGTTTTGTTGCACCATTGTGTAAAAATGTGTACGTAAAAAATTGCTTTGGAAATGTTTTCTTAGAAACAAGAAATTTTTAACAGGAAAAAAGTTACAGCAACTTTTAGAAAATGCACATTTTCGAAAAACATGCTGTAACTCAGAAACGATGATAGATATCGATTTGCGGTTTTCACCACTAGGTTTGTTATCAAATTTGACCTCCAGAGACAACCACCAATTTTTATCTATCTAGTTTGAAAACAGTAGTTTCCCTTTAAAAGTTTCCACTTTGGCCCACTCTGTACATCTATAGATGTGGCAGACCCCTGTCTTCGCTATATTTTATAATTGACTGTCTCCTTCTCGTGTGGCTAATCTCCCAAGATACCTTCAATCCATCTCGAGAGTATTATAAATCTTTGTAGAGCGAAACGCGGTTTCTTTATTTGCTTTTCTACGCGTATTTTCATCCGTTTACTTCGTTCTTGATACTATTTCTGCGTCGGAGTTTACACTCCTCTTCAATTGCATTGGTCTTGCCGCAATTTGGAGTGCCATGCATTGTTCCGTATCTGATAGCGAGGTTGTCACACAACAGTTAATTTGTTATGCAAATCGTGAATAATATATGCAGTCCAGGAGGAAGTACAAAATATATATTGCGACTTTTAGGGTAGCTTTAATGCGGATGAAGTTGCATCATGTCACCGGTCGAAGAGACAACTTCATGGAATATATTCCAAAGGTCAGGACTTCGGTATCTCGACATTTGAAACAACACCAGATTGGCTGTAATGGAAACCAGAGGCAGTCCACCGGATTGGGCTCATCTTGGTCATTCAAAATTGTGATGTACATCTACGCTGCAAACAGAACTGCCAGTGGAGATCAGGGAAAATATAGAACTGACAAGAATATATTCTTGTCTGACTTCATCAGAATGATTGTTGAAGAAAAACAACAAAAACCTTCAGTAGTGAAGAAATTCAACAAAATCAGTGCAAACTCAAATAGATAATTTTACAAGTGGCCTCTTGTAAGATTCATATTTTCAACTGTCCAAGGTGGATTGAATTCAGTATTGTAATTCTAGTTCTTTTCTGTTGTGTTTTTCTGACAGCATCATGATTATATGTAATCATGATGCTGCATTTTTCCAAATATCGTTTAATGACATCCATTTCCACTATCTTTTTTCCCATACTGGTTTGTACAGGTCCTTTTTGAATGTTGGTCATAATCTTCTGGAGCTTCTTCAAAATGTTTTCGCCAGTTTCTTCAGTTCTTCACAGTTTTCCCAGATCATTTACCAGATCAATAATATTCTATCCCCACAATAGAATCCACAATGCCGGAAATTACCTTTCGACAGCTCAATATCAACAAGGCGTCTGGCCCTGATGAAGTACCCGTCATCGTACTTAAAAGTACGCAAATGAACTCGCGCCAGTATTTTGCAGACTTTTTAACCTGTCTTACAGGAGGGGTTTTTCCTTCTTGTTGGAAGATTGCTCGCGTTCAGCCTATTCCCAAAAAGGTCGAGAAAAATTTCCAAATAACTATAGGTCAGTGGCTTTACTATCAGTAATATCAAAAATCATAGAGAATGTTGTGAACCACCATATCGTAAAATATTTGGAAGGCTTGCACACAATGTCCGACGAATTCATCATGTGAGGCAGGTCGTTGATATAGATTAGAAACAGAAGTGGCCCAAATATTGACCCTTGTGTCATTCCTCTTAATATTTTTTTCACTTTTTGTATTTCCTAGATCAACAATTTGATATCTTTCGTTCATCATATTCATGTTATATTACCTTCCAGTGAGGTATATACTATACAAGTATATGTGAGAGTGTATGTAGAGTATGAAGATTCATTCATTTTCATTTTCCTTGGCTCCTACATATCTTACGCCAAAAAAATAAATGTGTTTCTTTTACAGTCGGCAACAAGAGCTTCTTTCTACGGGGATGCCAACTGGCAGAGCAGGGGAACTTGGATATTTGCAGAAAGGTGCACGAAACTAGCAACGAAAACGTGAAAAATTTGCACTGTTCCAAATGCACGACTGAGGGATGCAACTCCTCGACAAAGTACACAACGAATCCATTCTCTGTCGTCTTATTTACAACCGCTTGTAGGTTATTGCAAATGAGCCTCTACTGATATTGATGAATCGCCTTTATGTAATCACAATGTGTTTGCTTTGCTAGACTAAGAGCTAGTGAACGATTTCTGATAATTTGATGGAAGCTTTCTTTGTTCCGTGAGTAGTATAGTGTAAGAAACACTAGAAGAAAATGCCTTACTGTTATGATCCACAATTGATTGGCGTGAAGTTATCTACAGATTTCTGGCCACACATGCTGACGTAGAGGAAAATAAAAATATGTGGTTGGGAAACGAAATTATTAGTACCCGCACTAATATCTGTGGCTGGAAATACCTATCACTATAGGTTGAACGTGGAATTATTAAGACTATTTGGTGTATAACTTTTTTATAGAATCTTGAGTAGATTTCTTCCATAGTTTCTTGAGTAGATCAACATAATGAAAACCGTTTTCTCGTCACCCATACAGATTTCGAGAATGAAATTGTTGGAACAATCAGACTAACTTTTTAAAACCCCTTGTAGAATTGGAACCAGATGATGTGCGTGCATTAAATTCGAACAAGTCTCATGGAATCTTGAGTAGATTGACGTAGTGATAATAGTTTTCTTGTCACTCAAAGGGATTTCAAAAACAAATTGTTGAAATAATCAGACTCATTTTTTGAGATTCCTTGTAGAATTGGAACCAGATGATGTGCGTTCATGAAAATTATACAACTCTTATTGAATCTTCGGTATGTCAACCTAATGCGAACTGTTATCTTGTCACCGATACAAATTCCTGAAAAAAATTATTGAAAATGTCCGATTTATACTTTCCAATACCCCTCGTAGAATTCAAACCCGATGATTTGCGTTCATCAGAATCTCATAACTTCTCAAGTAGATCAATGTTGTTGAATTCGTTTTCTTTCTTTGGTTCATACAGATTTCGAAAAAATGATTTTTTCAAATTAAGGGGTTTCAAAAAATTAGTCTGATTGTTGCAACAATTTTTTATGGAAATCTGTATGGGTGACAACAAAATAGTTTTCACTTTGTTGATCTACCCAAGATTCTTTAAGAGTTGTGTGATTTTCATGAACGCACATCATCTGGTTCCAATTCTACAAGGTGTTTTAAAAAGTGAGCCTGATTTTCACAACATTTTTTCCTGGAAATGTGTATGGGTGACAAAATAACTGTTATCACTTCGTTAATCAACACGAGATTCCATGAAACTTGTCCGATTTTCATGCACGCACATCATCTGGTTCCAATTCTACAAGGGGTTTCAAAAAGTTAGTCTGGTTGTTGCAACAATTTTTTATGGAAATCTGTATGGGTGACAAGTAATCAGTTTTCACTATGTTGATCTACCCAAGATTCTATAAGAGTTGTGTGATTTCCATGAAGGCACATCATCTGGTTCCAGTTCTACAAGGAATCTCAATAAATGAATCTGATTGTTTCAACAATTTTCTTTTTTGAAATCTGTTTAGATGACAAGAAAACTGTTATCGCAAAGTTAATTTACTCAAGTAACTATGGAAGTTGTGCGATTCTCATGAACGCACATCATCGGGTGTCATTTCTACATTGAGTATTGGAAAAGAAGTCTGATATTTCCCATATTATTCTTTCCTGAATCTGTATTGTTGATGAGAAAACGTTTATCAACGCGTAAATCTACTAAAGATTCAATGAAAAAGTTATACACCAAATAGTCATAATAATTTCACGTTCAACCTATAGTGAATAGGTATTTCCAGCCACAGATATTAGTACGGGTGCTTATCATTTCATATCCCAACCACATATTTTTATTTTTCTCTACGTCAGCATGTGTGGCCAGAAATCTGTGGATAACTTTACGCCAATCCACAATTGCCAACTACTTAAAATACAACATTACAAAAATGCTATTTGAATGCTATTGAAAGTAAGGGAAAAATCATGTATCAGGTAAATTTGCTTCGAATAGAAAGGAGTTTCACCGCAAAATATGACTTTTTGCAAATGAATAATAAAGACTTCAGAACACTTACACCTAATTGTTTGGGCAAAGTATTTATGATAACAAACATGGTTCAATCAACACACTGAAGGTGGAAATCAGGACAATAAGAGTTTTTAAATGAAATCTTCAAATCAATTGATACATTTGTGTTTATAATTTTTGTGATGTACCAAGATTAAAATACTTTGAATTTCCAAAACAAATAATTAATGACTTACGGTTGTTTGAAAACATTATTTGAAAAAACTCTAAAGTTATTTAGGACAGTTTATTTTGTGTTTGTTGCAAAATCAGCTCTACAATAGCTTTTTCGGGTGAGATTGTGCTAATTTCAGTATGACTCAAATATCTATGAACTCTGCTATGAATATTTCGCAAAAATTTCAAAATCTTGCCATTATCTGTTCATGATAACGTCAAACAATTAGTTTTTATGCGGTTATGAGTAATTTTCTATCAATAAATGTTTTATAGTTCTTTTTTTTCAAATGGATTGAGTTGAAATGATAAAATCAACCTCATACCCGACAAAAGATACTGATATAGTAATAATCATTTCCTTTAAATCGATCAACTTATGATATACATACATGACTCTCTGAGATAACTCAAATGAATATGTAAATCAAAGAAAACTAACCAAAGCAATGAACAGATAGAAGATATCGAAATGAAAGATGGATTGCCATACTTCACTGATTCACATAACGCCACGAAAATAATACATCAATCATCTAACTTAAACTACTTTTTGAATGCCATATATATGATATCTAAGTATCAAGATCATAATCGAAACTTATTCGTTTAATGAGACTTTTTTTTGTAGATTCTAACCTTTCTGAGAATAAATTCATCAAAATAGGCCTGTTATTAATGCATCATTGAGGTGACTGAACTTAGGAACTTCTGAAAAACGATGGTTTTTCATAGGGTCATGACAAATGTATTTCCATATTCTTTGATTCCTTTGGAGAAACTTCTCCCCGTTTGACCAATGTACAATTTAGGACAAGAACAATCAGTCAACTTTCATATCTACTACTGGTCAATTCAATAATGAAGTTCTGTTAATAGTTTTGATGAAATTGCCCGGATTATCATTTCTTCTATACCACATGCTATAGAAGCTATTCGAATTTTTTTCTGAAAGTGGAATGCGCATTACTGTATAACACTGTCCATATAAGATGGTTTGTGACGTTAATTATTGATTTTGTGATAGTCAGGACAATGAAGTTCATTAAGATAATAATTCTCATCTCTGTATTCAATTTAAATCCTTCAATCGTTCAATTCAAACTCCTTAAATATCAACCATTACGGATTTGTTAATTAACAATTTTTTTCTACCACTTGTGATCAATATCAAGGAACCATTTGTTTTTCAAATCAAAATTAATCTCGCTCTTCGATGACTTAAAAACAATTAAATTTTTCCTTTCGTTTTTTCAACTCTTTCTACACAATATGCAACAAAAATAACAATGTATTATTTCTTGAAAAAAATAGATTACTTATGTTATATATCAAATTTCAAAAAATCTGTTTCTCTTTTCCTCATGTTTTTGAACCTTTTTTCAAATTTGGAACAGGTTGAATAGTTTTCAAAGTATTTGCAAAAAACCAAACCCAATTTTTTTCGTTTAATTGTTTATAACTTTCGTAATGTTGAACCACTGTCTAGTAGTTGTTTAGCAACAAATTTTGATTGAGAATTTCCATTCGCAGAGTTAAAACTCCAGATTTTGTATCACAATGACAAAAAAGCCGATACTAAAAATTGATACAATGGAAAAATGACGAAATAATCAATATATAAAGATCGTTCTAATCTAAAACAAACCGAATTTGGATGAGGTAAACAATGTTATGAACCTTTTTACAACCTAATGAGAAAAATGATTTTGAGTGCAGGATAAACAGATGAAACTGATTATTCTATTATCACATACAATAGATGTTGATAACAAATTGAAAACATTTTTTTAACTTTCAAAACGAAAATCTATTCTGGACCTTTAAAAAATAGCTTCAGAAAAAGAATCCCAGAATTATTATTTAACAATTCAGTGTTACTATCTTCATTCGGGTTTGAAGGCTGTCTTAGTTTGGAACTGCATCCCAACGTTTCGCCAGTACGAGTGGCTGGCGTCTTCAGAGGTTTATTCATCTTGATGAACGAATCAGAGTAGAAGAGTTTTTATTATTTCCGTACTTTCTTCAGAAGGTTCCTACATTTTTTAACGGAGTAGAAAGCCAAAAAGCTTTTCCACTATAATTTTTAGATGAGTTGGAGTTCAATTATCATAGATTTTAGCACTATCACAGTAGCCTAGCTAGGATCACAATAAGAAACCTTATTTTCTTATGTGAAAAATTGAACCATTCTTGAGTATATCTCCATTCCGCTGAAGAATTCCATTCAATGGTGAAAATAATGTGGCAAACTTCGAAAAGAATTTTTGTTTATTTTGAAAATAATGTTTCGAAATTTTGTTAAGTCTAGGTATATCACTGAAATTGTATTTACAAAGAACACTTTCTTGATGTCCCTCACTGCTGGCGAATGATCTTCATATACCTATGATTAACTGCATCAATTGTGCATTTTTAGATCTAGGTTAGAATTAGTGTATATGTATAGAGTTAGTTTAAGTAAGCATTTGTTATGAATGTCAATAAATGTCTTTTTCCAGTTTTTAAAATCTGCCTGATTCCTAGATAAGTCCTATCGTTATTCATACTGATTTCAACCATACTTTCACTTTAAAAAAATAGACATGCAAATAAATCTTCTCAAAATTTTACTAGAGCTTTGGACACAGTCGGTGGCTCTTTCATTTCGGGAAAGTTGGATAACCTTGGTGTCGGTGGCCTAATCAATCAGTGTCCACTTTGTCCACTCCACTCCACTCTGATGTTCCTCTTTTCCATTTACGACATTCCCATGTGCATATCTCGAAAAAGGGTACTTCGGTATAGAATTCGATATTTGGTACTTCAGAAAACAACTTATAATTATTCACAATGACATGGAGGACATCAAAGTTTTTTAGTAAAGGTAGAAAACCTTTGGAAATACAATTGAAAATCTACGAGATATTTGTGAAAGTTTGAACAATCATTTTGTTACTGTTGATACAAATTTATCTTCTAGTATTTCTACTCAAAATAGTCCCGCAGTTCAATCAAAATTATCGTCTCTGTATCTCAAGCTTACCGAACCAGAACAAATAGAGGAAATAATAAGTATGTTAGATTCGAGAAAAGCTCCAGAATTCGACGAAATTACAATGGGGAATGTTCCTCCTGACGAAAATAAAGTATTTTTCATAAAAGAGCTCTAAAACAACGCATTTTAAACTTATCATTTCAACCTTTTTCCTTAAAAAACTATTCAAATTCTTAAAAAAGAGGAATGAAATAATGCATTCAACATTTAAAGGGATTCGTTTCTATTTCACCATTTGGCAACATCGGTTATAGCTAATAAAGGACAATGAATCTGTTACCTGTATGAGACAAACAAAGATGACATATTTCAGAGGCGTGCTGTTCTGTTTACTTATGTTCCGAGTTCCGAGACATTCTGTGACATATGACATTTTGTGCACCTAACCTGTCTTCCTCTATATGAATAAATAACAAAACAACTGTTGTTTATGTGGCTTGTGGAGATGGTATTGAACTATAATTTTTATTCTGCCTTAATTGTTGATTCATAAAGATAATTTTCCTTTTTTAAGTAGAATATCTAGGTACGTATAAATTATTTCAACTTGATATAGGCTCTGTTGCCAATATGTGAATTAGGAACAAATTCCTTCAAAAATTGAAACCCAACTTTTGAAACATCAATTTGAACACTTTTCGAAGTGAATTTGAAAAACTCATGAATTAAACTCAACTTTATTTTGTTCTTGCATTTGCTGTAATAACCCAAATTGAGGAACATTCCCGATTAGCATCACTGATAAGTTAATTGAT